CGTGCGATACACAACAGCAGCTCTGTAGCAGCCTTGTCAAAGCTTTACTCTTGTATCACTACAAATGCATAACCACGCTCTTATCATGAGAAAACATAGGAAATTCTCTTATCTGTTCAATTCCTGCCCTATCAGCGCTTATCGTGAGAAAGAACTGAACAGTACTCATCAAGTGTCCCTGTCCTGAAAAACCAGGAAAGACTGAGGGACTATCACAGATTGGAGGACAACAGATAAGTGTAATTAAGGTCTATAGTTTAGCTAGTAATATTGTGGCGATGCTAAGTTCCTGGTTTTGATGCTGTATTGTAGTTATATAAGTTGTTAATATTTGGGTAAGATAAATGAAGGGCACATGTGACTTCTGCACTATTTTTGCAAATTTTCTGAAGCCTAAAATAATGTCTAAGTAAAAAGTTGGTTTTTGTTTTGTTTTGTTTTGAATCCTTACCCAAGGATATTTTTTCCATTGCTTTTCAGAGAGTGGAAGGGAGAGAGAGAGAAACATTGATGTGAGAGAGACACATCGATTAGGTGCCTCCCGCATGCGCCCCTCAGGGATCAAGCCTGCAACCAAGACGTGCCCTTGGCGAGAAGTGAACCCGGGACCCTTCAGTCCGCAGGCCGACGCTCCAACCACTGAGCCAAACTGGCTAGGGCTCTGAGTAAAAAGTTAAAAAAAAAAAAATACAGCTCCATATACAAAGATCAAGTTTAGATTCATCTTTGTTAAACTTAATTCCCTCCACTGAGAAGTAAGGACCATATACTGAGTACTGACTGAAACATCCCCTCTCCAAAGTCTGAGATAAAAGAAAAGATAGTTTAGAATAAAATATCTTTTATCTAAAGCCACTTATGAATCACTCCTAGGGTTTGAGTGTGAAATGCAAAGAATATATGCTCCCTGTTAATGGTGATTACCTGTGGGTAAAAGGAAGAGGCAGGTCTTTAATTTTCTGCTTTTTACTTTTTTGTGTTGCTTGTCTTTTTTAACACAAATCACATATTGCTTTAAAAGCAATTTAAATATATAAAAGCAACAATGCCAGTGAATCGTTTGCTATTTAAAACTAAATAGACTTTTCAAACTATAAACTGTTAGCAATTCAGTTTTATTTGTGATATGTCAAACCCAACAGCTAAAATAAGGAAAATCTTTCCACCTGTCAGTCACCACCATTTACTAAATACGCACTTTATCCAAAAGAAACCATGGCATGGTTCCTGCCCCCCAGAGAGGACACAGTGACCAGA